GAGCTCAGAGAAATTGTTGAGCTGGGTCTCGCTCTGTCTCTTGGCTCTGTTCAACCTACCTGGATTTCTTCAGAGAGCCAAAATGGCTGTGAGCTGCCCAGCCTGGTCCCTAAGCTCGCCGTCCAAGGAATCAAGACCCTCTTTCTCTCCAGCATCTCTGTGCCTAATCTCATGGAACACGCTCGGGTTAATCTGCCAGCCTCAACAAGGGAGTGCGGAGGTGATTCCCTCAATGAAACCATACGCCCCACAGGAAAGGGAGAGTCTACTCCTACATAGGGAGCGGCGAGTGGGGAATTGGGGGAATTTGGGGGAGGCTACCACAGCCCACTTCTGTGCCATCCCCATTGGAGGACCTGAGCCCAGCACGACACCCTGCCCAGTGGGCCTAGATAAAGTGCCCGGGGCCAAACAGCGTGGGACCAGAGTAAAACCTCGCTGTGCATAGCCCACCCAGGCGTGACACTTCTGCCCTCACTCTGTATTCTCCCACCCCGCTATGCCTTCTGCATCATCTCTCCCGCAAACTCTATCATCTGGCAGCAGAGGAGGGAAAGGCCAGGCAGTCCGGCATGACCCACAGCTCTGACGTGTGTGAAGTTACCATCACTACAAAGGACCTAATTCTAGTAACTGTCATTAAAATAGATACCTCCCTGCAGATCCTCTCCCTAGATCTCCATCTCACCATGAGGACAGGGGGTTCTGCGGGCACAGGAGCCCCATTTCTTGGCTGGGGGATGATGAATGAACCCTCTTTCACTCCCATCCTAAGTCTGTCTGTTCCCCATCCTCTCCCCCATTTCCCTCCACCCCTGCACACAGCTCCAGCCCCCTCCCACTCTGCTGCGGCCGCCTCCCCCGTTGTCCCCAATGATCCTCTGTCCCTAATTCAGCGACCCTTTTCTGTCCTAACAGAATCAAACTCTCTCTCTCATTTAAAGCTTTGGGCATCCCTTCTGTCCCACACTCCTCCTCCAGTGCATGCTCCCCTCCAGTTCCTGCTCTCTTTCTCCGCGCCACTCCTCCTGGTCCCCTGCAAGAACTTTCTTCCTGGCCACCCTAAGCAGGGCTATTCCACCTGCACACCTGTCCGAGCACCGTCCTGGCTCCTGGCTTCAGCTGCCACCCATCGCCAAGAGCGCCCAAACTCGCATTGCCTCTCAGAGCGTCAGGCCTTGTATCAGTCACCTCACCTCCTCCCCATCCCACCTGGGCCCCATGGAAACTCAGACTGAGCATGCTCCAGACCAGCTTGTTAGCTCCAGACAGCAGGCTCTCTCCTCTTCCTCCTCCCTCTCCTCCTTCTCCTCTCCCTCCTGTGACTTTCAATCTCTGTGGCAGGAACCACCAGTCACTCATTTGTCTCAAAATAGAAACCTGGGAGTCATCTCCCCCTTCTCCATGTCCAAATGGTCCCCAAGTCTTTGTCCATTGCCCTTATCAATGTTTCTTAACCTGTCCTTCCTCTCTGCCCACTGCCACCTTCTTTTGGACAGCTCAGGTAAAGCCAGAGGGTTCCCAAGATTAAATTCTGTTCTTAATTTAAAGTGACTCCCAACAAGATCATAATGAGAAGATACATTATAGAGTCAATGCCATGCTCAGGGGAGGGGGTGTCTACTGAGAACGTCCCTGGACTCCAAAATGTGGGCACATCTCGGATAACACGTCACCGGCCACGAAAAACAGTCCTTGCAAAACATGCTGAGATCAAAGGGAAAAAGGATTTTCTCTCCTTATGTCTGGATAGAAAACTTCACAGGCAACAGTATCTGGTACAGTTGGCTGAGCAATGATGTCAATGTTTAGGCTGAGAAAGGGAGAGAAAAACAAGACGGTCTCCTGTGGTAACAGCCCCGTCGCTCTCCCACGGAACGGCAATATGGTCTGTTCAAGATACAGCAGGGAGCACATGCCAGAAAAAACCCGCAAGGAGCTGTCAGAGACGCATCACATTGCTTTGCAATCCCACCCACGGGCCTGGGGTGGCATCACTGACTCGCCCGGCTACACTTTACCTTCGTCCTGCACAGTGACCAGTGGCCTACTCTAAGCTGAGAGATCGGCAGGAGGCAGTAGGACGCAGTCCACCTCAATGGATCGAGGAGATAGTAAGGATGAATAAATAAGTAGACATCGTGTTCTTGGGGGCCTTGTGGAAGGCGTGCAGCACACGAGGTGGGGCTCAGAGGAGTGATCTTATCCCACGTAGGGTATCCGAGAAGCATAGAAAGGCCATCTTAGAAAGAATGGAGGCTTGAGCTGGAGAGACAGGCAGGGGGCCTGCAGTGGCCCTCGTGTGTTAAGCTGCCAGGCGAGAGGACAAGAGCAACTAGCGAGAGCAGACCCTGTGGCACACGGGACTGCGTGGGGGGCCTGGCGTGCCTGGAGCGCGAGCTCGACCAGGAGCCCTAGCAACACGGAGGAGCGAAGGCAGGACACTGGACATCGCACATACCGCTTGCACTTATAGAAGACGAACAGTGGCGGCTGCGATGCGTGGTCATGCCTGTAATCTCTAGCATCTCGGCAGGCCGAGGCGGGAGGATCGCTCAGTCAGGAGTTCAAAACCAGCCTGACAACAGCGAGACCCATCTCTACTAAAATAGAAAGAAATTAATTGCCAACTGAAATACAGTAGGAAAAATTCAGCTGCGCATGGTGGCGCATGCCTGATCCCAGCTACTTGGAGACTGAGGCAGGAGGATCGCTTGACGCCAAGAGTTTTGAGGTTCGCTGTGAGCTAGGCTGATGCACGCACCGTAGCCCGGGAGACAGAGTGAGACCTCTGTCTCAAAAAAAAAAACAATGTGTTACATGGCACACGACATCAAATAGGAGTAAAGGGTCCACACTCAGAGGGAACACGCTGAGACCCTACAAGGCAGATTAGAATAAGTGTGGGAGGCAGGGAGCTTCTGCCCCAGGGGCATTCAGCATGTCTAGGACACTGAGCTTGGCATCTACCAGCGTAAAGACCCAAGATGCTGGCTACAACATCCATAATCCATAAGACCAGCTTCCCCACAAAGAATTATAACACCCAAAAGTCTCATCAGTTCCAGCCTCTTCTGTAGGCGGATGTGCCTCAAGACCCGAAGTCGATGCCTGAAACCCCAATCAGTCCGAGCCACTCTACAGTCTATGGTTTTATCCTATACGATACGTACGCTATGATAAGTTTAATTTCTAATTAGGCACGGTACTCTTTGTGCTTGGTGCGTTCGATGAAATGATGTATTTGAACACAA